AGCGAAACCGGTCGTCTGATCTGAATAGTTCAATTAATTGATTGTGAGTAAGTCTTATTTATTATTTCTTTACCTATATATTTTTCTTTTCTAATAATTATTTCAATAGTTATAACTATTGTTATAATCATTATAATTTGGCACCTCGAATGGCGTCCATTTTAAATTGCTAGAGGTCCTTCCTGTGTTTTGTTTGCCCATTTGCCCAGGAGATTTATGTAAGAACCTTTTTTTATTTCGTTTTTGTAGTTGCCTCAAGTTCAACCCCCTTGCCATTCACTTATCCACGACACAGCTACTCCAAATTAACCCTGAGTGCCGTTCGCATAAGTTTCTTTTATTTTGCTTGCCCTATCTCCACCCCCAGTAACTTCTGTCCCAATTTTCAACCCCTTATCTTCTTCTTTGTTAACCATTTTCCATTAACTCCTGAATGTAGGTCTCTCCCAATTGCTTCTACTTTCTCTATCTTGCGCCAATCTAATCCACTTTGCCTGCCTGCTCTTATGTCATCTACCCATCTTTTTTGAGGTCTTCCCATGCCTTCTTGTTGTCGTCCTTGGTCTCCATTCTAGAATTCTCCATGTCCTCCTGTTGCTATTATATCGTGCTTATAGTAATACCCTATGTAGTAGGCAAAATATTTCGTTACTACGTAAATATTTGATCGCTTTAGAGTATTTACAATAAAAAAATTATAAACATAAATTAGAAGTACTCACTTATACTTTTCAAGAAATAACCATTTACATAATTCTCGTAGTTATTTAATTCAGTAATTTCAAAAACATAAATGTGATTTATTTAATTTTACCTTAACGTGTAGTTTTCAAATATAAATTTGTTCAAACCATTATTTTCTGCAGTTAACTTTTTATGTGTAAATTTCAATAGATTCATATTGCTTCCTGAGAAGTAAATAATATTGCATATTATACAATTTTACTTTCCATTTCAATGAGCTGTAATTAAAAATGATAAACGTGAAGGAAACTTTCTTGCTCGTTTCAAATAATTTCCACTTACAGACAAAAATTTAATTGGATATTCTTATGAATCGATAGCGAAGGTTTCGACTTTCAGAATATTATGCATAGGTATACTTCAAATATATCGGAATCTTTTAAGTATGATATGTTTTTAAATCCTGCTTTAAAGACATTTAAAAATTCCAGATCAATGATGGCATGAGAGCGGAAACGTTTTTTTCTTCGAAATTTCTGAAACTTAAGAATTTACAATAGGCGTACAAGTCTTCATATAAATGATAGATAACTCCAAACCTATACTAACATACGGGAAAATGATGATAAAATGCAAAACTATGGCCAGAAAAGTTAGGGGTCGATGATTGCCAGCATGGGCAACATCATCTTACAGTTACGATAGCTTTTGGATGTAAAAACTGATAAAATTACGGGGACACTCTTGTCCTGACGTCAAGAAATGAACCGGAATAACGAAAGCAAGAAAAACCACAGCAATTAAAGACTCACAACAGTATCTTTAGCCATTCATTCTTACTATTTCAATATTACAGATTGTAACAAGTCCGCCACTTCAATAATTCTTTACTCACTTAAATAAAATTTTTAAATCCATATCCTCTTAATTATTTTCTTAATTTTTAAATTCTAAGTTGGTAATAAACAGCGACACCAAGCGTCCAAGTTGGCAACCATAGCTTAGCTAGCTCAAAACGAGTGGCCATCGGGCACTTCTGTTCTGACTTTTGACGGGTAAAGACTTGGGGTTAAAAGTAGGGCCGAAAGCTTAGAATTTTTTTTAGAATCCAGTTTTTTTGAAGAGAGTTATTAAGGTTTTTTTAGAATATTAAAGTTTTTTTTTTTGAAGAAGTAGCAGAAAGTTTGGTTTGGTTTTTTTTGAGTGTCCTGTTTGATTTATAGCCACTCTGAGCCGGTAAGTGTATCCAATTATCAATAAAAAAAATATAAAACCCATCGGCCATGCTGATTTCTAAATATTGTTAATTTTCTTTTGATTTTTCTCACATCATTTCATTAAGAAACATTCTGATTTAAATATAGTAATTATATAAAAATGTATGTATTTTTTAATTTTACCTTCCGGCATTAAAAGTCTAATTATCTATCTATAAAAGCTACCTATTATTTATTTAGAGTATCTATAAAAATATTCTGTGTCATTTTGTTCTTTTATATTCTAAAATATATTCATAGCATGCTTTTCGTTAAAATTGTCTAAATAATGAATCCATTTTACTTAAAATATTGTCAAACCATGCTAAGGTCTGTATGCCTTCACTCGAAGATGTTTAGAGATGAATTATACCAATAATACATTTATGTTGAAACAAGTCCATAGATCAAACTGACTTGAACCAAAGCATCTGTTTTAGATTTGATAATAATTTTGTTAAAATTAGTTTCTCTTACTTTTTTATAGAGTTAAATTTTCAAGCATCGTTCAAATCTCTCACTGATTTTATTTCCTCTTCGACAAACTATAATTAATAAAGGAAAATCGAGATGAAAACTACTGTTTCTAAATAATTTCACTATAAGTATATAAATATAATTGGAATTTGATTTAAATAAATCAATGGCGCGGAGTTCGGAAATTGCTAGAGATTGCCAGAACACAATATAAACAAAACGCTTAGAATTGTTTTAGGCAAAATTACATTAACCCCAAAGGCTAATACCACAGAGTAGTTACTGTATGTACTTCTATCGAATGAAGGTAATTGCTGTAATTATTTAAAGCAAATTAGACTGAAATTTATTAAATACTCGCCTATTATTACCGCATGGTTTCTCTTTGGAATTGCGTTTTAAGTTTTTCTAATTTATAACATATTGTTGCTGATATTTAGTTTAAACGATACATAATAAAAGAGTTAATTAAACACAGATCCGTAACATCCACACCCGCACGCGCTGAATCAAATTAATCCAACTATCGAACTGCTTGGCATTTTGTGCCCTAAAAATAACTATCGAGAACAGTGCCCCACGCCTCACTTCATTTCACATTAGGCCTGGTAACTACATTTATAGAGAACCTAAGAAGAACCCCAAAGTATACCCAGCAAACTAAGGAAGAATTGGAACTAAGGAACATAAACGAAGACAATTCGAGTACTAGCGAGTACTCGGCGTTGATACTTGCAAGGTCATCATACCACAGAAAGAACGGATATAACAGCAGCTGCGTCTGCTAAAAGTAGTCCTAACAAACTGCCTTCTTCTCTTAACGTGCCCTATCAAGTCCCCTTGACGTTGGCGATTAACATGGCGAAACTGTCTCTGTCTCGAGCTATTCTAAAGAGTTGCTCAGCTTTCCTTATTCCTGTCCACTCCCTGATATTCTTCAACCAAGAGGCCTGCTTTCTACCAATTCCTCTGCGTCCTTCGATTTTACCCATCATAATAAGTTGAAGAATATTATATCGGTCTCCTCTTACTATGTGTCCAAAATAGGCCATCTTTCTACATTTGATGTTATCAAGCAGCTCGCGAGCAGCATTTGCTCTCTCAAGGACTGCCACATTTGTCAGCATAGTCGTCCATGGAATTTTTAGTATACGTCTGTGCAGCCACATTTCAAAGGCCTCCAGGCGATTAATGGTGGATATTTTTAATGTCCATACTTCGACACCGTATAAGAGGACTGACCAAATGTAGCATTTAACCATGCGCTTTCGAAGTTAAAGTTGCAAGTTATCATTACAGAAGAATGTCCTCATTTTTAAAAATGTCGCGCGGGCTATCTCGATTCTACATTTTATCTCTTGATCTGGATCTAGTTGTTCAGTAATATGGCAACCAAGATAATTAAAACTGGACACTCTTTCAATTATATGACCATCAACATATAATCGTGCATCTTGATGTGCTAAACGGCTAAACACCATGTGTTTTGTTTTTGAACAGTTTATGTTTAGGCCAAACTCTCTTCCCACTGTATCAATGGCATTTAAAAGGCATTGTAATCCATTCATGTCATCACTTAAAATAACTGTATCGTCTGCATATCTGATTGTATTTATCAGAATTCCATTAACTTTCACGCCCCATTCCAAATTATGCAGCGCTTCTTTAAATATTCTATCTCAATATAAATTAAATAACAGTGGGGATAGTATACAACCCTGTCTGACACCTCTTTGTATTTTACATATTTCTGTTGATTTTCCGTTTATGCAAGCTGTCGCTGTTTGACGCCAGTATAACTTTTCTATGAATCGTATGTCTTGACTATCAACTCCTTTATCTTTTAATATTGTAATTAATTTGTGATGCTGTACAAACTGCCTTATTCATGATTATTGAGGCGCACATTCGTATTATTTATTTTTTAAGGATATATTTCTATTCTTAGTTTTTTTTCTGTTTCTGTTTCCTGTTTGGTCATATGGTTTGATGCTCTGGGGATCAGCTAGCAAATCTAATGTTATGAAAATACAAAGATTTCAATCTAAAACTCTAAGAAGAATCGTTAATGCCCCTTGGTATATCCAGAATGAGGCCTTACATAGAGATCCGCAGGTACTTACAATCTCTAAAGATTGCAAAAGGATTTCTGAACAATATCAAAACAGGTTGCGCGTGCATCCTAACACCCTGGCAGACAACCTTCTCCACAACCAACAAGCGAAGAGATTAAAGTGGTATGATCCCTTGGACCTACTAAACCGTTATTGACAGTGTGTACAGTAGTAAAAGCTACGCCTTCAACAGTGCTCAGCCATTGTGATCTGTGGCGCTTTTAGTATTCGTGTACGCGTATCTGTGTATGTGCGTATCCCACCGGTAAACAAGCCAACATTAGTGTTGTGATGCTTTGGTCACTGGACCTTACGTCTCTCTGGCATTGTAAAGACAAACAAGTTTACTTATTATTTTTATTGTAAGACAGATTGTGAAAAATCTTGATGTTAAAAAAAAAGTTTCCTTTTTATTAATACCCCAAATATTCGTATTTATCATCTGTTAGAAATTATGTAAAACACTTACCTGACTTGATAGATTCCTTATCATCATCTTCGTCGCTATCGATATGTGGTATGGATCCAACGAATTCGAACATAGGACTAGTTTGAATGGAAGAGTCTTTTTTTAATACTTGGTTTTCCGCTAACCGGCACGAACATTGACAAGAACACGACATCACATCGTCCTCTTGTCTTTCCAAAGGCACGTATTGGTGACATTGGGGACAAGGGAACGTTAAATCGTCCAAAGGCACTCGTTTGATTGCGTGTTCCACGGAAACTAACAGGTTCTGAAGCATTTCTGGAAGGTCAGTACCATCGTAGTCGTCGTAGGAGGTTATCTCGAGATCCGCGATGGACCTGAGGACAAACAAAATATAATCTTCCACAATTCAAGATATTAGTAGCATAGATATAATAAAATTTTTGAAATAGCATGCCTAATCTTTTGGTATTTAACCAGTACAAAACAAGTATTTATTATTATTACTAACAATTTTTAAAATTATTGATGGATTCGACCGTTACTTGATGGAAATTCATTGTATGTTACAATAAAACACTGAAAACTTTGTTTTGAAACTTCCACAAAATTTATTTTAAACTCTTATCACTACAGCTGTTTCGGCTGATTGCCTTTCTCAAGTGGTCTATTTTTGGCATGCGTTTACACTTTATAGTCTCTACTGACATAGGTTGAGAAGGGGAGAACTGTTTGTCTCAAGTTGGTCATTCAGAATTATATCTGTGTTTTTTAATTTGTTGATTTCCATAGATTCTAACAAAGATAGCTTAAGGCCTTTATTTTGAATGTGAAAAATTTTAGATTCGTCATTAAAAGAATGATTGTAATCTAGAAGGTGAAGTGCGTATGTAGAATCTGTTCTTGAAAGTGTGCAAACTTTAATGTGGCGACTGCCCAAAAATTTATATCGGTCAAACTGGTAGAAACTTTAATAAACGAATAGCAGAACATAAAAGGGTTTTCAATAATAGAAAAACAGAGTCACCTTCTAGATCACAATCATTTTTTTAATGACGATTTTAAAATTCTTCACATTCAAAATAAAGGCCTTAAGCTATCCTTGTTAGAATCTCTGGAAATCAACAAATTAAAAAACACAGATATAATTATGAATGACCAACTTGACACAGACAGTTCTGCCCTCCTCAACCTATTTCATTAGAGACTATAAAGTGTAAACGTATGCCAAAAATAGATCACTTGAGAAAGGCAATCAGGCGAAACAGCTGTAGTGATAAGTGTTTAAAATAAATTTTGTGGAAGTTTGAAAACAAAGTTTTCAGTGTTTAATTGTTCCAATTTTTAAAATCTCTGAAAAATAAGTAGTGAGAACAGTTTCAGACAAATTTCAAGGACTGATAACAAAAACCAGTGTTTTAACTGTGGGACACGATGATAAATGTACCTACCATCGGAGCCGTAATTTCAATTTAAGGGGATTTTAATAAAAAGCTGAAGACTTTGTCTTTCATGAACATAACAGCAATGACGTGGAGACTTAAGGAGTTAAACCAAACAGAAAAGAGACGCCGAAGAGACCCTTTGGCGTTTTCAATACGTATCTACAAAATTTGAATCTAAAATAAAAATAAGCAGATGCATTTATATACAAAATCAAACAAAATGAAAATATATTGACCCTAGCCCGGTAAATGAACAGTTAGATCACGTGAACCAATACTCATATCCTGCTACTCCTATTATATAGGTCATTCAGCAGCAGAAATAATACGCAAGATCTTCGCAAATACATATTAACACCGTCTTCATAACTCAGTACTACTCAAGAAAATTTCCAATTTTGAACCTATCTTCCAAGATCTACCACTACCCTCTTTCTATTAAATTCTCTGTTCCTATGCCCACAATTCAATCGGCTTAACTGCTTAGCATGTCAAAACCATAATGCAATAACATTAAAGATTCATTAGATCTTGCCTTTTCTCTTTCCTTCGCCGAAATAAGCTACATGCAAATAAATAGAAACGTTGAAATTGACCCCCACTTGTTCGTCCAAACAATACAAAGTTAAAACTTAAAACTGAAAGTTGAAAATTCTGTCATGGTAGGGGAGGGCATAGATTTCGTATAATCGAAAGAACTTGGGACATATCGAAAAAACAGATGTATCCGGTAACCTTAATAAAATGAAACAAATAGCAAACCATAAAAGAACATCTTTTACGATTTGGTTAAATCTTTAAAAGCAACTGAAGTAAGAAAAGAACAGACAATTAAAACATTGCTCCAAAGCTGTTGGCAGGGATCTTACAGCTTCTGTTGAGTCACGCTGTTGGTAGGTATCGATGGAATGAGTATCAGAATGATAGCTTGGCTATCAAAATGACCAGTATTCCTTATACCTTATAAAATACCTTTATAAAAGCTAATTGTGAAATAAAGTCGGAAGTATTGGTTACAAAGTATTGGTTCTACAACAGAAGATAACTGAGATTATAACTCTCTTCTGAGAAAGATGTGAGATCTTGTGGTTAGGGACTTTCTAGTTGGCCGTGGTCGTTCAGGAAGGCGAACTGGATCCGGTTAGAGCCCATAATTCCGAAGATTAAAAATCTACTGGAAAGTGCATAACAAAATCGTAATAAAGATCACTCAATACGAATCAAAATCCAGAGAGGAGCGATTAGCGGTGAAGTGAGAAAAAGTTTAAGTACTTTTGAAGCAAGACCTAAAATAGGCTCGATAGCAGCAGCAGTATTATTCTTTTTAAAGTAATAAAGCTTAAATTATTATAATCCTACTAAGAATGATAATAAATAATTGTAAACCGTGCGTGGTTGATGTGTATGACTAAATAAAAAAAGTTTTGTTTATGAGCCAAATCAAAATTATGTGGAAAACGTCTTTTACCTGAGGTTCGAACACATTATGTCATCTAAGGATTGTGATGGATCCCTAAATTGGGCAATGGTATGGCTATGCAGTTGTTGCTGTTGTCGCCAAAAAAGCGTAACTTCTAAACCTGGAGTACTTCGATTTCTAACACAAAGGTAGCAGTCTCTGTTTCTCACATTTGATTTATCTAGTAGGCCTAGGTGGACGGCTATACCGGATTTGCCGAGACACAATGGCCATCCTGTTGGAATAGACGAATCACAGGAATGCCCATACTGAAACAAAAAAAGAAAATTTAGTATACATAAACTTATCAGTAAAACATGGTGGAAGATAAAGTAGAGAAGGCCGTTTTAGGCCTCGACATTATAATCGGTTTTTAAAAGGTGCTTAGATTTAAAAGAGTATGTTTGTCAACACCCTCGCCATCGATGGTATAAATGAACCGTCTTCTGTTCATAGTACCAGTAATGCATTGGTTAGTGATCAGTGTAGTAATGTTTGAGGGTTCGGGAGACTAAGACCTCGGAAGCCCTGAAGAAGACATCGAAGAGGATGTCGAAAGCTCGGTACTCGGCTCGGTTCAACCGAAAGACTGTTGTGAGTATATTAACAATTTTTCTCGATCTAATAACTTCCGCTTGGTAGAAATCTGTATCTTCAAGAGCAATTTTATAAAATAATTTGTTTGGATTTTGTTTTTCTAATTTGATTACTCTAAATGACGCAGTTTTTTACATTTTTAGGGATATTCTCAAACAAGTCAGAAGTTAATTTTTTAAATCCATAATGTCCTTAAAACAAAGTTCGTTTACTTTGTACGTTTTTCCAGTTTTGTTGCTGATCTCATAATGCAAGCATACTGATCGGGAACGTATATACGGCTTGATTTTATGTATAATTTATTTTAAGCCAACATAACTTTTGTCACTATTTCTCAACTGTGTTTGCTATATATTTTTGCCATAAGCCCTAACTTCTTAATCGTTTTTTTTTCTGTTTTATACGGATCCAGTAATTTTCTGTTTTTTGACAACTTAATTTTTTCTACTTCTCTACTTGAACCAATATTATCAGAATCTGATTACGATTTAATATAGTATGGATCCTTAACACCGTCATCAGATCCAAACGGTTCATTTTAGGAATCTAATGAGTCACTACTACTTGTTGAAGAACTTGATGAAGAGTTCGATGACGAAGATGATCTGTTAGTAGATGAAGCAAATGAATAATTTTGTGTTTTTTCTATAACCAAATTCTGGACATCTAAAACCAAACTTAAGTTAATAGAAAAAATATCACTTCAAAACTTCAACTTATTTGTAACATTCTGGTTTGCATTCTTGTTTCTTGCTCTTTTTTCTTTGAAAGAATAGCATCTTTATTGACTATGCGATTTTCACTACTTTTCAATATATCAAGTTCTTCGATCTCATAGTGCATTATTTCTGGTATGTCTTCAAAGTAAAATAAGTCAATAAGGAAATATAATGTAATAATGTAAATTTTCCTGATAATTTCTGACTCTTAGAATCAGTATTGGCCGAGAAATTGTTACTGAACTTTAACGGTTCAATTTCTTTGATCCCATATTGGGAGAAATCCGTTTTCAAATCTTATAGTAAATCAGAACGACATGCGACACCCGGCAAGTATCCTTTGGGTTCGGTTCGTGTATGGCATATTTAAGACTACGTGATAATAGAAATTAAATAATTTCGCTAAAAATCCTTAATTTGGCAACAAACATTGCCGTTTGTTAGACCAAAATTTAAAAAATCATTAGTTCAAAAATTCAACACCCTCGGAAACTGTATTCAAAACTCCTTTGTTAACTAAACTGGTTAATTTTGTCAAAAAAACCGTCACAGCTTTTTTTTTATAATTAATCGAACTTTTAATGGAGACACACAAACAATTTTTAAATCATATTATATCTGGATTTGCAACAAAACCAGGTATTTAATATTTTTTTCGTGCAGGTAAATAATTGAAGGTCTAATATATTATCGTAAAAAATTACAAAAAGTATTAAGAAAAGTGATACATTATGACATTAACCAAAGACTGTCAATAAATTTACCACAAAAGTTGATTCAAACGTATAACATGTTATTTTACAGTAATTATTAAAAAATTAATCAAGAAAAACGCTACAATTTGACATAACACATAGTATGTGAATAAATTTACTGAACAAGTTAGTTCAAAACTGTTACAAAACAAAATGTTGCGGCATTGTTACAAACGTAAAACAGTTAATTTAATCCAAGATTGTAACATTCTGAGATGTATCTGTTCTGATGTAAAATTTACATGTAATTACTACTTACTTTTTGCAACAATATCGAATGTAACCTTTTTCTACTAATTTTTTAACTGCCACACCACAATATCGGTGACACATTGAGATATAACGATTTTGTAGAAAATATTCTGTGAAAAATGCAAAAATTTTCTCTCGAAACTTAATCCGTTCCTGGTAGTAGGCACCTTTTTAGACAGTTTAATGAAATAAAGTGAGAAATGAACATTTTTGAGATGTAACCCTTTTCTTCGAACAATCGACATATTCTTTTACTTGTTCTGTACTTGTGCAATTGTAATTATTTTAGACCTATTTTTGTTGATTCGCTATTTAATTCATCCACAATATTTTGTAATTCTTTCCTTTTATCTGTTATTAATACAATGTCGTCTGCATATCTCAAGTGATTCAAGTATTGGCCATTTATGTTAATACTCCGTTTTCTCCATTGTAATTTCCTCATAACGTGTTCCAAAGCTTGATTGAATTGGGTAATATAGTGTCACCCTGTCTGACTCCTCTCCGTATCTTAATAAGCTCCATTTGTTCAACTATTTTAATGGATGTCTGTTTGTAGTCTAGTCTCCCATTTTGTACAGAGTTTTTTACTGCCCAATGTTCCACCTTATCGAAAGATTTCTCAAATCCTACAAATGCCATATACATTGGGATTTGATATTCGTTGACCTTTTCAATTAATATTTTTATCGTAAGCAGATGATCGCTTGTACTGAATCCTTTTCTAAAACCAGCTTGTTCTCTTAATATCTAACTTAGTTAGTAATCTGTTTGTTAGTAGTTTAGTTAACAGATTGTAAATTACATTACATTACATCGTTGAAAAAGATTGATATCAAAAAATTAGAGCCATTTGAACTATGGATATATCGCAGAATCCTGAGAAGAAGACGAAACTCCTGGCTAAAGAATCTACGGGAATGGTATAGCTGTAGCAACAACGAATTGTTTCGGTCAGCAGTTTCGAAAATACGTATAGCCCTGATGATCGCCAACCTTCGGAACGAAGATGGCACTTGAAGATATTACATTAAGTATGGGCCCATAGTTTTTCAGATCTGTTCTATCGCCTTTTTTAAATAGTAATAGTGTTATTGCTTCGTTCCATGTGGTGGGTATTTGTTTTGTGTTCAATATTTTATTCATTAGTACATAAAGGACTTCCACTGTAGTTTTCCCCCCATTTTTTAGCATTTCCACAGTTATTCCATCTTTCCCAGGAGATTTGTTATTCTTCATTTTGTTGACAGCATTTTTTAATTAATTTTTACTGATTTCTGGTTGTAGGTCAAAGTTAACGTTTTTTATTTTCAGTTGTAACTGATACCGGATTTCTTGGGTTGGTTTTTGTTCTGTTTTGTAGAGATTTGTATAATATTCGTGCGTTATCTGTAAAATTTCTTTTATATTTTTGGTCTCCACTCCTTCTTTGTTCTTTATACTATTAATTTTTATGTTTTCTAGGTTCTGCACTTCATGTTTCTATTTTTTTCAATTGTTTTCTCTATCTTTTCTTCCTGTACTCTCCGTTCACACTACTTGATATTTTTTCTAATAGTTTTGTTTATTTCTTTGTATTCCATTTTATATTTTCTCCATACCAATATTTTATTAAGACATATTTGATCCAATGGGCAAATTTTGATCCAAATAACCTGATTCTAGCCCATAGCCCGACAGTTATAATAACTCACCCTATATGCGGAATTCAGTAACACTTGTACATTTAATAAATCAAAGCAAAATTATGCAAATATTATGTAAATTTCGTTATTTAACGGAATATAGCCTTGTGTACTGCCGAAAATTTGCAAATTTAACCTTCACATTATGCTACTCATTATTACTTAATAGAGGAAGGAAATTAAAATAAATTTTGCATACATATTTTGCGTGGACATAATGTAGATGAATATCTTAAGTTGATTTAGTTGTATTTAAAAGCCTAGTAGCAAACTTAGTTCCTTCTGAAAGTAATAAATATTAATAGACTGTAATATAGATCAAGATCAGCTAGTTATTTGTAGACTAAAACGCAAAGCAAGATGGCGTGGGTGTATATACATAATTCACAATTGGTTTAAAACTCGTTTTAATTTCAAAGTAGGTTTCGAAGTGAATCTCTTCCATACTGTCTTGTTTCTAATATAAAAATGCAAGAATGGAATATGATAGTTGCCATAAAAAATATAGTAAACCGCTCAGATGCGCAGATTTTGGTAGTTGTTAAAGCAGGATAGATTGTAAAATTATTTTGATTATTTTTTATTTACATTTCATCTCTCTCTTGCCCCATGCTTGCATTGATAACTGATGTATAATAGTTTGTGTAATTACTTTTGTTAAAAGAACTTTATAAAAATAGAGTTAGGTTTAAATATATAGTTCAAAACTTTTAAAATTTATCAAAAAATGCAAGCGTCTTCCCGTTTTCTTTTATTTATTTCAAAAATATAAAACCTAAAAATATAAAAACTTTTTTAAACCAACGAGATTTGTTTCATTATTGCAATTGAAATTTGTCGAAATATTCATTGCACAACTTAATTGTACACAATTAATTACTATTTAACTGGGAATAAGCCACAATTAAAGATAAAAATAAGTTTATTGACGTTTCAATTTGTAGGGGAAAGGATGAGGTAGCTGGTTCGATAAATTAAAAGTAAATAAGTATTTGAAAAATTATGATCTCACCTTCCTACATTTGGTAGATAAAAAATAAATTAAACTTCGAAGGACCAGCGACCCATAGGTCGCAAACTTGCGGATATGTAATTATGTAGTGAGTAGTAAAATAGAAAATAAAATAATTAAAATAAGAATAAAAGCTAGAAATATTTTTATTACATTATTTACAAAAATAAACAAAAAAGCGGAATCACCAACAAATCACCCTTTTTATAATAATAAAATATAATTGTTTT